TCCTTTCCCTGGGGAGGCTGTTGCACGACTGTGAGATCTGATAACAACACAAATACCCGCAGCTCTGACACAGCCCTTAACTACAGCCAGGGATCTCCCAGGGCTTCACAAAGGAGACCAGCTCTGCTTTCGTCGTGGGGGGGGGAAGGGAGCACACAAAAACGAAGCGATTCGTCCCCTGCCGTGCAAAAATCAGGAGCAGAGCCGAGAATGAACCCTGGGGCTCCTGCTTCCTGGTCCTGTGCTGCACCCGCTAGGTTTCGAGCCGGTCTGATCTGTCTAATCCCGCTGGATCATTGGAGACCAGCTAAGCTACCTCGTAGGTCACGTTTTTTTTTTTTTTTTCTGATCGATTCGCCGTGGATTTCTGCTGGGTGGGCTTCAGCTTTGGAAGAACAAGCTAATGCAGCGGCCTCGATCACGCCTTGGAGACTGGGCTTTGTCCATCGAGGACGTCGTGCTAGGGCGCTCTCGGGGAAGACATCTGGCGCCCCAGCTGAGCTGTCATGTATTTAAGGCAAGAAGTAGCCCATGTGTGCCATGTTATTAATGTAGATTACCAAATAATTCCGGTATTAACAGCCTATTTAAACGGGGGAGCCCTGCAAGAAGCAAACAGCCAGTTAAGATGTCAGAACCAGCCTCTTAGGCCAGCTCAGCACTAGGGGTGCAAAGTGACTGGATGCATCTTTTTCTCTAGCTTAAAGCTAGCTTCCTGGCCTTTTTTGGTCAACAAAAATCCCACAAGACTTCTCATTAGGGAAGGGAGTTCCTCTTCTGGTTTCCTTCAGCGAGTTGGTGCTGTGAGCCTACAAATACCCCCTCCGGCCCCAGCTGGAGGTGGGATTTTTCTTTTCCTTGTCGCCCTTCCCCAGCTTTTGCAGTGCTGTTGTCCATTGTTCGGCAGCTGCCATGTTCCCCTGGAGGTGTCTGCTTTTCACTTCCTTGTAAGTCATTTTTTATCTGCCATCTGGGGGTGTTGCAGAGCTTACCTAACTGTTAGTAAAGCTCTGGGATGGAAAACATTAAATCTGAGCGATGGGATTATTACAATCATATTAAATGCACTTTAGATACATTTTGCACTCTTCTGGGGTGCCCATAACCCCTTCCACATGGCCAGCTCATGGCTTTTCAGATGCAAGGAGCCTTGACAACCTCTGAGATGGCCCGGCAGAGCAGCACAGAGCCTCTCCAAGGCTTGTTTTTCCTCTTTGCTCCACCGAAACCCCAGGCGCTTGCACAGCAGCAGATCCTGTACTGGGTTGTATGACATCTTGAACCCTAATTGGGAAGATGGAGGGGGAGGCTGTGGCCAGCAGGGCTTTTCCAGGATTTTTGCTCAAGGTATAGGCTAGCCCTCATAGGACATTGCAATTCCACATCTGGTATTTTACAGGTGATAGCCCATGGGAGGAGATTAGCCAACTTCACACTTACAGGTTGTGTTTGGGGAAAGGGGAAAATTATGCATGGTTACAGGCCTGTTAGTTGGAGTACAATAAAAGGTGAGCTTCTAGAATAGGTTTTGGAAGGGACACCAAAGACACAGGGCTGGGAAGCAGAATAAAACGCAGGATGGTTCTATCACAGATCATGTCGGGTCGGCTCTGTATCTTCCTTGGGTAGGATAACTGATTTCTAAGACAACAGGTCTTAAGGAAAGCACTTGATACAGTGCCCCAAGGAAATGATTATTTAAGGTGGAGATGAACTGCATACACATTGGAAGGAGGAGAAGGAAGAGGCAGCAAAACGGGAAGAGGACATGGATTCTTCTACAGGGAGAGATGTGGGGACCGATCTCATCAGCAGTCCCTTTAGCGCCCGGCTGAGACAGAGCAGCTCTGGCAGGACACAGAGCCATGGAGGTTAGGAAATCTGCCAGCAGTGAGAAAAACCAGATCTGAAAAAACACATCAGCAAACAGGAGCATGGTGAGAGAGAGGAGTCCTAGAAACGGCCAAGGTAGAGCTGTACCAAACTAGGTGCTTGGGGAGCTGTAAAAAGAAGCTCCTGTAGCCTGTGGGGAGCTTGGCAAGTGGAGGGCAATGAAGAATAAAGTGCATCTGGGATTGCTGGCAGAGGTGACAGGACATGGCCTGAGAAAGAACAGATACAATCAGGTAGGAAATTAAGTGAGGTATCAGGGTGGAACAGGAGATGTTTACAGAAGAGACTGTGGAGAAACTGAAAAGGGGAAGGAAGGAGCATTGACTGCTATTTGCTAATTGTGCTTATGTGCACCAGGTTTATATTGCATTTAATTAGCACTGTCCTGCAGAGCTCCCATATCTTTCTCCCAGTGAAGCAGTTTGTCCTAAGGTACCACCCAACCTGTCATTTTTGGCTGTCGCTTGCAGTATCATCTGGCACTACTGAGAAGGATTTGTCTCTGTCGTCTTTGTAACTCCCCTTCAAGAAGGTGTAGGCTGCTTTTAGATCACCGCAAGCCTCCTCTTCACCCTACCAACGCAACTCGGCCCCTTCTATTTCTTCTCATCAGTGTTAATTTAGTAAACATTGGCTGGTGGCTGCTCCAGCAGAAGTTCATGCCCACCATGAGCTGGTGGGGCAACAGCTGAAATAGAGCTGCAGCACCCCATTTGCTCCAAGTCCTCCCTTTCCTTGGGGTTAGCAAGCTCTTCTCCTTAGCACTGGCTGAGCAGGACTTTTCCCACTGTAACCACAAGTGATCACCATGGCTCAGCACTTTGTACAGCCAGCTGGTGGCATGGGCAGAACTGCAGTGCTTGTAATCGTTCCTCTTCATGGGCCACCTTGTATTGCCAGCTTCCCCATCCCATATTCTCCCAGGGAAGCATCAGATCTCCTTTCTCTAGGCTGTTTTGCCAAAAAGGCACTTTCTTTCTTTCCGGAGCTGGCTCATGTTTGCCCAGAGCTCAGGCTCTCCGGGAGCCCTGCCGGAGAGGTCTGTTGTGGTCTGTGCATGGGGCACCGATTCCTCTCCGGACTTGGCTGTCCGGGCTGGACCCAGTATTGCTGCTTGTTGTGTTCTCGCCGGTGCCAGTTCCTCCATCGCGTCAGAGCTCGCTTCGTACCCGCCAGTGCCTGGACAATGCCCACAGGACCCTACCAGCTGGGCTAGCTCCCAGGTCCTTCTGGAAAACAGGCTCTTCTCATCCTCCCAGCCGGATTTCTGTTACACTTGTCAGCTGCATCAGAGCTCTAGCAAGATACGAGATCCCCTTAAGACCGTGATCTTTAATGGGTGGCATAAAACACTGGTCCCCAGAATGGGCTGTTCTGTGCTTTAGTTTCCACTTCTGGAAAACAGATGGATCTCAGCAGCATCCTCCTGCCCCATCTGCCCCCTTGCTGACAGGCAGGTGCTGGGGACCAGCGCGGTCCCCCTTAGCCCCGTCTTCCTGGTGCCATGTGCCTCCTCTGCAGGGCCAAAGGTGGGAGAGCAGAGCGGGTGGGCAGGGGCACCCGTCGGACTCGCTCCTCGCTCATGCGGGCCTTCCATTGTCACCCTGACAAAGGCAGCCCTGTTCCTCCCTGCAACTCTTCCTTGTCAGCATCCTGCAGCATTTCGGCTGCAGATTTCCTGCCCACTAGCAGCCTTTCAAGAGGCAGCCCGGGTGCAGGACGTGGATGGAAAATGGATTAATGGGGCAGGCTGGCGCCATGTTCTGGGGGGCAAAGGCAGGGGCAGGTCGGCATGTGGCTGTTTCTCCAGAAACCCAAGAGCAGCGTAGTGGTATCTGTGGAAGAGGCCAGGCTGGTCCACCGCAGAGTCCTTCCTCTTGCCTCAAGCTGGCAGGAGCCTGGCCTGGGTCCCAAACACCTGTGAGGTTGAGTGGGTGGCTCGAGGCCACCCGAGAAAACTGTGGCACAAACAGGAGCTGAAGCTGAAACCGGGTCCTCCATGGTTAATGCTAGAGCTGTGACCACCAGGCTTGCTCTGCTGTTTTCCCCAAGCTGCACCTTGCTGTCCCTTTCTGCACTTGAAGCCAAAGCATCCCTGGGTTCGTGGTGACCTTTCCCTGGGGGTACTGTGCCTGGTCCTGGTGCCAGCCCCTTTGATGCTGACTCTGCACTGTGTGTTGTTTTATGGTGTAGATCAGCCTTGAGGCCTCCAGGATGCAGAAGCAGGGGCCAGCTGTGCAATGAGTTGGGTGCTTCTTGGTCTTAAGGAGACAGGCTTTTCCAGCTCCTCTTCTCCTCCCCAAGCAGTCCTGGTGACAGCCCCACTGAGAGAGCCCACAGGCTGAGCTGGCCGTGGAGCTGGAGGCTCAGCAGCTGGCCCGCATGTGTAGGCTGCACTAATCCTGCACATATTCTCGGGGACATCAGTCCCCAGAGCAATCAGCTTAACCCACATCTTCCTGGGGGAGAGGCCTGACAGCCTCTCCGAGGAGGTGCTGAGCCCCTGCCTGTGCCTTGCTGTGCTGCTGGGGATACCTGGTGCCCTCACAGCTCCCTGCTGGACAGGATGGAGAGGGAAGGGGCCCGGCTTCCTCACCCGCAGCTTTGCCTTTGGGAAAGCCTCTTGCAAAGGCACAGTGATCCCAGCAGTTAACATACACTTCACAGGGCTGCTAATGGGAACCATATGGCAGAGAGGGGCCTCTCGCCCTTTGCGGTCCCGTTGCTTTCCCGTACCGGAAGCTCTTCAGCATTCGGAGAGGCCGTTAGCCAGCAACGGACTGCTCCAGGCTGGGGACTTCTAACTCCTGCCCCTGGGGCCAGGCAGGAAGGTGAGAGGGGGTTGGGAAAAGCTGCCGGGCAAAAACTCACTGACCGAGCAGCTTCTGGGACGAACTTGCTCTCCTGAACCCTGTAGAGCTCCTTCTTCAGCGTTAAAAGGCAGAGAGTAGCACTTCTGTAGCCACTCTCACGGGGTGTGAGGCATGCCTCCCCTGCGGCCGCTGCACGAGCTCCAGCCCCAAGCTCCTGGGTCGAACCCCGGGTTGCCGACTTCACCCACAAAGTTTTCAGAGCAGGTCCCGTGGCTGCTGGTGGCGGAGGTCTGGGTAGGCACATGTTCTTCAGCCTGGCTGGCAGCTCAGGCGCCTGGCATGTCCTATGGCTCCGGTGCCCCCTGCAGCTGGCTGCATCTCTGGATCACGCTGAGACCTCCTTCCGTGCCTGCCACACTGCAGCCACCGGTGCTGCCATGAGATGCTGCTCCCATCTTCCTGGGAAGAGGGCACAATCCCTTGGAAAAAGGGTTATTTTGTCCACGTTGGCCCCTGGGCGCTCCTGCCAGGGGCGGAAGAGCAGAGGCTCTAGCCCTGGCAGGACGAAGGGGCTCTCACCCCATCCTGGGCCAGGTGCTGGAAACCGCGATGAGGACAGGGCAGGCCTTGGTCCCCCGCTTCCAGGGGGTGGTGTTGGCAGCTGAGAGGCTTAGGGAACAGAGGTTTGGAGAAGCCTGGCTGAGCAGTTAGGGTACCAGCCTCCATCGCGGAGACTTGGACTTGGCTTTCGTGCTTTGCCACAGGTGCCCTCCGCGCTCCTCAGGAAAGTCACCGAGCCTCTCTTGCGCGCTGCAGGATTGCCCTGGCAATTGCGAAGGGCTCGTAAAATCACGTGGCAACAGGCAGACACGGCCCTAAGCAAAGCCTGCGTCACTGGAGTCCCTCCGTTCGTGGAGGGTTGTTGTTGGTGTCAAAGGCCTTGGGCTCAAATCCGCTCCGGGGTGGACCGATGCCCCCTTGAAAGAGTGACAGCAGCTGGGAGCCTCCTAAAACCCTCCTGTGGTTTCTGACTTCTGTTTCTCTTATCACTTCAACACACCCTTCCCCTTTGAGATTTCTACTCCTGCCTCCTGTCCTTTGGCAGGAAGGATATTTAGCAACTTCAAGTCCCGTCCTATAGGGCAGCTACACCGAGGTGGCCTCCCTTGATTGCAACGAAGGCCGGGCGAGCGTGAGCACGGGGCCACGAGCAGGGTACGTGCACCAAGGGACAGAGGGACGGCAGCCAGCGAGGGTGGGCAGCAGGAGTGGGGCCGGCGGCTGTTAGGAGGAAGGAGACCTGAAGGATGGGGCTGGATGGAGAACACAACTTCCATGGGGCAGGATGACAGGGAAGGGGTCGAGGAGGGAGGCTGCAAGAGGCCAAGGAGCGAATCGCAGGTGGAAAGAGCCAGGGAGCCATGCGGGCAGCGTGTGCACACAGGGAAGGGGAAGAGAGGGATGAAGGAGGGATGGGGAAGCTGAGGGAGAAGAGAAGGTGGCAGTAGGAGGAAGACTGAGCTGGAAGAGGAAGGGAAGCTGCAGAGGGAGAGATTTTTGAGGGGAAGGGGGAGAAGCAGGTGAAGAGGCCATGGGTTGTGCATCTGCGTTAGAGACGTGGGGCCACAGACCAGAGGGATTTTCTGGGTTCCTCAGGCTCCCCTCTGGGTCTGCACCGTGCTCTGGGCACCGTGTGGACCCCGGGGCGGCTGTATGCCCTCCCCGCTCCGTGGCGCAGGAAATAACAAGCAAACCGCAGTGGAGACGGGAAATGATGTCGGCAAAATCCGAACCAGGTTCTCAGATGAGGCTGGGAAAGGTCTGCAGTCAGACGGGGTGCGATGAAGGCCGTCCAGCCTCCCCCCAGCGCACCCACCGCTGCTCGTGGCCTCGAGCAAAGCCCCCGGGTTGTCTTTGCGCTTTGAAATGTGGTCACGAATTTTGGGTGCTCAACCTGATACAACTCAAGCCTGACTTGAGCTGTTGGGAGCTGGACGTGACAGGCAGCCAAAGAGCCCCAAAACCTAGATGTTTGCAAACGTCACTGTGAGGTTATCATGGCCTAGCTGCCTCCTGCGAGCTCTGTGCCCAATCTTGCCCCCAAGCCCTCCATCCAGGCTCGTCTCCTGCCTTCTGGGCTTCCCCGGGGTCCACGTGGCCCCTTGGGCAGCAGGAAAGCTTCTGGGGGGACAGTACAACAACAGCAGGTTTTGGGAGGAGAGGAAAGCGGCCCCAGACAGGAGCAAGGGGCTGGTTTGCCGGCCCCCAGCACTTGTTCCCATCATCGTGCAGTTGCGTAGCACGGCACAGCGCGGGGCGTCGGGGCCGAGGCCGCGGGTTTGGTGTCCCTGCTCCGCCGCAGTTCTCCCCACCCCCCCAAACGTCGCTTACTCTGTAGCTCTGTTTTGCATGTGCAAAACAGGCTCATCAAGCCTGACCTTTTATGGGTGTTTTGAGGGCAAGGCGTGATGGGGAAAAACCCCAGAGGATCCATCAGTGTCTTTTCATCTGGCTGTTACCAACGGGGGTGGTTTGTAATGCTGCTATTTTTTTTTTCCCTGTGCTGCATCAAAACTGTGCTGAGACCTGTCCATCTCCATCCTCCTGGACACCCAACCTGTCACATCCAAGGCCACAGCCTACTGGTCTCAGCCAAAAGGGGACATACCAATGCCTTTGCATGGGAGAGGGCACTGCCCCTCCTGAGCTGTACACCAGCTTCACCTTGGCACCCCAAATCACCTGCCAGCTTCCTAAAACTCTCACTGAGCAGTCTCCCCAGCCCTGCATCTCCTGTTGACCGGTCCAGTCTGGCATGCCTAAATGTCTTGGGTTCCTCATGAATCCCCACGCTAACCCACAGAGTCCACCAGCATGCTCGTGTCCTACACCGACTCCTGCAGAGCTGTGCAGCTGCCAGCTCCGGGACCACGTAACAGGCCACGCTCCTGCTGACATTTCCTTTCCAGGTGTTGCCAGAGGCCTGTCTTGGACACCTCCCTGGGGAACGCTGCCCTGCGAACGCCAGCCTCAGGATTAACGACGAGGAGGAGGAGAAGGAACCATGTTCCAGGCCAACGGACCTGCCAGCACACCCCCAGCTCACGTACGTAGCATGCCCTGTGGTTTGCATGAGGACTTGAAAACCAGGCTGATTTGTTTGCAGGGTTGCAGGGTGTTTACTGGGGACTTGGTGTTTTCGGGTGATCACTGCCCGGTTAATGCTACTCAAAGAAAACTGGGGACAGGGGTGTGCCAGCAGAAGGTGCTGTTTGCTGAGCACGTTGCAAACGCGGAGTCCAGGCTCTGGCCCATCCTGTACAGAGCTGCTCACCCTGCTCTTGTCTCGAGTTGCTCTCTGTTTGTTTGTGTTTCCATGGCTTTCTGTGATCACAATTGAGAGCATGCGAGTTGCTGAGGATTGGAGTGATCGGAGATGGAAAAACAAAAAGGCTCGAGAACAGCGCCTGCTGGGACAGGATGTGGCCCTTCCCCGAGGGAGGATATATCAGATATGAAATAGATAGTGTGCCTGATCGGAGCCAGGAGGCTGCCGAGAAGCGACGAGTGACAGTGGATTGCCTGTAGCCTTGGGAACGGATGTGCTGCAGCTTCAAAGTGGCAGCGTTTTCCTTAGCTCTGCTTGGCTGGGTTAAGCCTTAACCCCAGGAGAGCACCTGCGGCTGCTTCACCAGGGCGGAGGGATGCAACTGCTTTTGCAGGGCCCTTTCAGAGTCTCCTTTCTGCCCAGGTCCCTCTGTTGACTTTGGCTTCTTCCTCCAGCCTTGTGTTAGTGGGAGTGAGAAGAAAATCACGTCCCTGACCTCAGTCGATGAGAGCAGCTGGGAAACGTCTGAGGAGGCAGCTTGGTGAAGTGAGAGTTTCCTGTGTGTCTCTTAGACATACTGTTTCCATAAATACCAAGGAGAAATGATGGAGAAGGAAAGAGCGGGAGGAAATGGGATGGAGGATTGATCCGGGGGCACAGAGATGGGGTAGTTCTGGCCGGCCAGAGCTGAACTGGCAGTGGCAGGAAGGACGAGGAGGCAGTGGGGAGATGTCCTGGGGTCACGCTGCACCTACGCTGGGAGCCAACGGGGCGGAGGGTGCCCCGGTCTGGTGCAAAGCAGCCCTGGTTGCCCCACACTTGCTAAAAGCTTGTTTGCCCCAGCCGTGGGAGGAGAGGTAGGTGATTTGGGAGAGGATGAGCTGTTAGGGCTGCAAGGCCCAAGTATGATGGAGCCCAACAAATCCCCCGCCCAGGGCCGCTGTCAGCATGCGCTGAGAGACCCAACTCCGCGATGCCGGGGGCAAAAGTAGAGGCAGCTTGACATATGGACCTCTCTGCTCTGGTGCTCCCCCCCAAGGCAGTAGGGTGTGAGGAACCTCTTCCCCTGCCAAGCTGCTGAAAGCAATGGAGCATGTCTTCAACCGGCTGTGCCCTGCCACCCTCCCCACCCGCGCACAGTCTGCAGGGACTCGCGAACGCTTTTCGCTCTCACTTACGGCGCAGCCGTTTCCTGTGCAGCACAAGGAGGGTGACTGGCTGACGGCAAGGCTGGTGGAGGAACTCAAAAGCAAAACATCTGGCAGGGGGACCGGCACAACATGCTCCGTGGTGCACAGGGGCACTCCAGCTTTGCCCTCTGAGAAAGGTGGACAATCTACCACTCTCTGACGGCTGGCAAAGCCCCCAGCTCACCCTGGGAATAACGCGGGAGCCCTGTGTGCCTCCAGCAACAGTAGGGTTAACTATCACTCTCCAGCCCTACTGGTAAAGAGGTGGTTAGGGGGAGGGTTGTTGGCCAGCAGGAACAAGAGCAGAGTCTCACACCAAAGAAGAGCTGCTGTTAACACGGAGCCTCACAAGCCTGCGCCTGTGAAGATTTGTCCCTGCAGATCACCAGGGGCATTTGCCAGGGGCTTGCGCTGCGCAGTTCTGCAAAGCCCCTTCCCTGCTCTCTGCTGGCCGTGGGCAACCTGGGGTATGGCTTGAGCTGAGCTGGTTGGTGCTGTTCAGAGGGATGCTGAACCCAGGATGCTTCAGCTAGGCTTGGCTACCAGCCCAGTAGACATGCTACCCTGGGACTGTGCTTTGCAAGGCACGGCTATGCCAAATTCTCCCCGATCTGAGCTTGTGTGCTACCTCCACGAGAGAGACAGAGCAGCCAGGATGTCTGCCGCACCTGGCCATGGAAGGAGCAAAGCCGTGCTGTGCTTCAAATGTCTGAGATGGAGGCTTCAGCGACCAGTGCTGGATGAGAGTCAACTGGCTGCTCTGTCCTCCACAGCCCTGGGCAAGTCCCGCAGCCTCCCGATGCTGAGTCCCTTCTTCACAATATGTAAATGACGTTTCCTCGTTTTTCTCTCTTCCTTCTTGACTCTTTGGGGAAAGCACCACTGCGCAGGCAGTAGCGTGCATGCCAGGACCTGACCAAGGTCACGGCCTGGGGGCAGGTGACTTCGGAGGCTGTCCCTGGTGCAGGCGTCAGCCAGCCAAACCCTGCTGGCGGGCCCCGAGGTCCTGCTTTAGTTGCTTGTACAAACCTGCTGCTTTGCGCTGGGAACACCTCAGAGCCAGGCCCTCTCCCTCCTCGCAGGGCTGCTCGGTCGCTTGCAGCAGGTCAGTCCCGACTCTCATTTTGATTTCTCTTCTTCCCCCCTTAGGAAGCAAAGAACAACTCAGGAGGGAGCACGGTGCAGCGCTCCAAGGTATCTGCGACTCCGGCATCCTAGTGCCTCACAGCGAGGGGAGATGGAAAGCAGGCCCAGACCAAGCACCGACCCCAGCCCGGTCTTAGTACCGTGGTACAGGGAGGCCGAGGGGGCCTGGGGGCTGCTTCATGCTAACCAGTACTCCAGAAAATTGCAGCACGGGTGCTGGGGAAGAGGGTGGTGGCGGGAGCCAGTCACAGGACTTCCCAAACCCCGTCTTCACAACCTCTCTCCCTTTGGTCTCCCCTTGCCCAGTCCTTCAGCCTGAAGGCCCAAGTGAAGGAGATGTGCACGGCCTGTCAGAAAACCGTCTATCCCATGGAGCGCCTGGTGGCGGATAAACTCGTCTTCCACAACGCCTGCTTCTGCTGCAAGCACTGCCACACCAAGCTCAGGTGAGCCGCGCGGGGAGGCTGCCGGCTGCCGGCTCAGGGCAAGGTGGTCGGGTAGCATCGC